TGAAATTCTGCTTCCCCTAGGTTCATTTTAGCCCTGATTGTGATTTCTATGCATTGAAATTCTCATTCTCACGATTAGAAATCAATTTGCATTTTTCCTTTGTGAATTTGAAATGTTTTTGCTCTGGAGTAGTCACTATCAACATTCATAGTAACCACTCTCTGTGAATATATTGTGTTCTGCTCACTTCCTACACTCATTGCTGATCTGATTCAGTTGCACTACCATGTAATCACATTTTCACTCACTCCTTGTTCTGAATTCTAGAAATGTGATTTGAAATTGGACACCCCTTATCTTAGAGCAGCTATTCAGAATGATCTTCCGCCTTTCACACCTACAGCAGAAGAGGAGGAGGAGGAAGAGGCAGATAGCAGCTTAGAGGGGGAGCAAGTACCAGATCCAGTTGTAGCAGAGGAGCAAGATGATGAAGACACAAACACTGACGCAGCTAATGATGACCTCTCCTCCAGCTCTGATGAGGATGCAATTTAGTTTAAAATTTCTATTTATGTTATTTATTTACCCTTCCATTTCATTGTACATATTTTTTCTGCTAATTTCCGTATAATTAGTACACTTTTCCATTTATTTCCCTGCCTTTAATTTCCCTTTATTGATTCTACTCTAAACAACAACTTAACTCTTTTATGCTATATATATAATATCTGAGTTTGAGTTATTTTGCTTCTTCTGGTGCTGAATTTATTGTCTCTTTGTGCAGAGAATGCCCTCAGTTCCATCAAGAGGAGCATCATTTTTTTTTGTCCATGAGTTGAGGCACTATCATTCATGAAAGGGGGGTGAAGTTCTTTGCCTCTATTTCATATACTCTTAACCTCATTTTTCGTGCACAATTATACATCAAAATATAAAAATATATCTTTGTTCTTTCTCTTTTTCATTGAATCCAATTTTGTAATTCCAATTCTAGACTCTTACTGCAATTTTCATTTGATTCATGAACACACTCTACTTTTGTAAATAATTTTCTCTCCATGCCATGCTGAATATCTTTTCTTGCAAGGTGAATTATCCTCACATGATGTTAAGTAGCTATCACCATTTTTACCATGGTAGAGAATTAAGCCCCTAATTTTCTTTCTGTGTGTATGTTCCATGTAATTTTGCATCTATCCTCTAGAACTTGCCCTATTTCTTAGTTGAATATGCATTATTATCTATATGATTGAGGCCTCCTTTCCACACACACACCCACTCACCATTGCCTACCCTTGCACCTTATTGTATTATATTCCCTTCAATCAAGAACGTATTTCTTTTGAATAACATCAAGAGTGAATGCAAACACTAAGTTTGGGGTGTTGATTTTGACGGTAGTTGCTTGAGGACAAGCAACTCTCAAGTTTGGGGTGGTGGACATCATACATGTTACTAATACATGTCAAAAAAAAAATTTGCTTAAATTTGAAGAAAAAGAGTGATTGTCAAAGTCCAAGAAATCATAAAAGAAAGAATGAAAAAGGAAAGAAAATAAATGAAGCAAGGTCCAAGAGATTGAAGAGATCTTCACATAATGAAAATTGATGAAAAACAAGGTGAAAGAATGCTTGAACCTCTTAGACTACCTCATTTGATGCATTTCATTCTAATTGTTGTATTCACTCACTCAAAATGATTCCCTTACCTTGAAAACCCACTTGAGCTTTTGACCCTCTTTAATCAAATTGAACCTTACTTATCCCTATTTGTGACCAACCAAGTCCTTTTGATAGGTAAATCATTGTATTAAGGCAAAGGAGATTGAGAATATGGGCAAGCATATGGTAGGGTAAGGCAATTTGCATGTATTAAGGGAAAATACCTAGCCTGAAACACTGACGAGTGAAGAGTGAAACACCACCTTGTGAGCTAGATAATTTCTTTACATTGTGTGAAGTATAATGAACCTTGTTGAATTTTTGTTTCACTTGTATGGGACTTTGCATAAAATTAATTGATATGAGTGTGCTTTCTTTGTTGAATGACTCCATGATTTTGAAATGGAGGTAGTGTATGTTAGAGTTGAAAGATTGGAACAGAAAAATTTTGAGAAATTTTTTTGGATAAGTCCAACCTTTGTTACTTAAGTCCTTGAATTTTGGTTTGCTTGAGGACAAACAAAAGTTTAAGTTTGGGGTTGTGATGAATCCACATTTTACTAAATTTTTATACATCATTTATTACTTTTTATAGAAAAGAATAGACTTAGATAATGTAAATAAGATGAATATTCCAATTAGGCTAAATAATATAGAATTATTAGTTTTTGGTTAATTTACATTGATTTAGATAGTTTGTTTTACATGTTTTGATCATTTGAATAATGTGGCAGGAATCCCCAAGCTTATTTTGAAGAATTATTGGATTTTGAGGAATTTGAAGTGAAAGTAACTACTTTCAAGATTGATAGTGACAACTACAGCAAGCTCTTTCAGCAAAGGGACCAAAGTGATTACTTTCAAAGTTAAAAGTGACAACTACAGCAGCCCAAAATCCACTAAGTTTGCGCGTGGTTACTATGAAAGTTTGTAGTAATCACTTCAGAGCATGCAAAATTGAAGGTGCTGCGCGTAGTTACTATAAAAGTTTATAGTGACAACTCTAGAGAGTCCAAAAATGTCCCAGTGCTGTGCGTGGTTACTATCAAAGTTGATAGTAGACACTACAGAAAGGCAAAACCCAACTGATGCTGCGTGTGTTTACTATGAAAGAATGAAAGTAATTACTTTGGAGGTGTCAGCTTTAGTATAAATAGATTTTTGCCAAATTAAGGTAGAGACTTCTTACACTTTTTGTACTTTTTCTCTTCTTTACTAAATTAGGATGATTTTCCAGAGCTTAGGGCAACCTTGGGTGACAGCCAAGGGTCCAACCTAGGGTTTGGTTTCTCATTTCTCTTGCTTTTACCTTAATGCCAATGAGTTTTCTACATTTCTCAATTGTGTTTCTGACCCTCATTTCCATGGAGGGCTAATTTTGTGTAATCCTTAGTAAGTTCACATAGATTCTTGAGTTCCTTGATTTTAATGATAACATAATTCCTTTCTTCTCATGAATTACTTCTTCCTTGTCTCTTGAATTGAATTAATGGTGAATGAGGGGGATATTGCTTAATTAACCCTAATTCGTTTTAAGGAGATTCTAAACTAGGGATTGCTTAATCCTAGGTTTAATTCTAAGGTTGTGTAACTTTGGGATGAGGGATTAGAGCCTAGCAAATTGCGTAATTTTGTTAGGACCATAAGGTTAATTTTCGTTTGTTAAATTAACCTAATTCATGGGAAAGAGGATGAATGTTAAATCTTGAGTGGAATGAGGATAGAATCTTTGTGGATGAACTAAGGATTGGTGTTTTAATTGCTTGTTCAAGTAGTGCCTTCAACATGTTTAGTGAAGAATAATAGCCAATGTTCACAGGAGACAATCTAGGATAACCATAGTACTACATTAATTTGTTTAAATTTTGATGAGGATTTGCGACAAATCTTTTAAATACAACATGAGAAAGTTCGTTCATCATGGGCCATGTGCCGTGATATGTGAACAATATGTGTGTTGATACGAAATTGAGGGATTTGGATTATATGTAAATATTGTGTGATAAAATGAGTGTGGGCACTTGTGCCGTATATTCAAATGAATATTGTGAAAATATGGGCCCAAAGGCCGTGTAATATGAATGAAAAATTTTAGGTTGTGTGCCGTGTGCAGCATGACTATTGCATGCGTGAATGAAATATGTGTAAATGGACGTGTTAGCGCCATTGTAATGTGCTATGAATGGTTCAGCGATACACTGGGGATGTGGGAGATGAAGACGATAGGAATACCTTGGGGAAGAGAGAGTGGTGGTGACACCAACTGCAAAACGGGTGCACCACGGGCCACACACTCTCTTCCTGGCGAGATGTCTGACCACTATCTTTGCTGAGCAACCCCTGCCCACATGGTATCCATGAAGCGACGGTAACCGGCGACCATTCATGGTGTAAATCTGTGATCACAGTGCTATAGTGAGTGTGGCTGTTGTGCGTATGCACAAGTTTGTGTATTGTGCTTGTGAATGTGAAATGTTGCCTGTGATTGTATTTGCTTAATGTATTGGTAATGTGCTGGAGGTAAGACTCTATACTAACTATGTGCTTTTGGGTAGTGTAGAGTACTCATCCTTACATTCATTTTTCAGGTAACCAAGACGATCAGCATCGCACTCAGTGAAGGGACGGATGGACTGGTATAGGACGTAGAATTTATTTTAAAATTGTTGTAATTGAACTAATCCTATAGCAGTTATTTGATATTAATTTGTAACCCTTCACTTATTTCAAAATCTTTTATGAAAAATTTGGTTATCCGATTTGTGAAATTATTATTTAATTGGAATTAAATTTAAGGTGTTATAATTTTGGTATCAGAGCAGTTCATCCAAACCAAACTGGGGTATCGGGCTGAAGAGTCCAAAATAAGTGTTGATTGTTTTGTTTGCCTGAATTATAAATGTAATATTGATTTGATGTGCTAGATTGTGACTGTTAAATTGTGTAGCTAGATTGAATATGTCTGGAAGAGGTAGAGGTAGAGGTAGAGGAGCTAGAGGCACGAATGACCTCATGGAACGCATGGCTCAGATTCTGGAAGCCATGGTGCAAAATCAAGGTGGAGAGCCGGTTGAGTATAGAGGGTTATCTGCCTTCACTAGGCATGATCCTCCAAATTTTGAGGGTGGATTCAATCTCGAAAGAGCCCAAAGGTAGGTGGCTGATGTGGAGAAGATCTTCAATGCAATGGGATGTCGTGTGGAGAACAAGGTTGCCTATGCCACCTACTTGCTGTGTGGGGAGGCTGAGGACTGGTGGAGGTTTGCCAGTCAGACCCTGCCACAAGAAGATGGCTATGTTCAGTGGGAAGCATTCAAGACCATCTTCCTAGGGAACTAAATTCCCCGGGACCTAAGGAAACAGAAAGCTAGGGAGTTCCTTGAGCTGAAGCAAGGAAGTATGACTGAAGGGGAGTATGCAACTAAGTTTCAAGAATTGATGAAATACTGTCCTCACTATCAGCATGGTGATAGAGCGAAGGATCTGTGTGCTCAATTTGAACATGGATTGAGGTCAGACATTTGGGCTGCAGTCAGTGTGTTTCAACTGACGGACTTGTCCACTCTGGTGAGTAAGAGCAGAATCTTTGAAGCTAACTCAAGAGGGAAGACGGTGGACACTATGGGAGCCAGCCCGGTGAGGCAAGATAGAAGACCCCCTAGGTTCTCAAGGGGACCGTATTCGGGTTCAAATAGCTCTCAGTCTCAAGGGAGTTCATCTCAGGAGAATAGCAGTGGGAGTGGTTCAGGATCAAGCTCTTTCAGAGGGCCGCTCAAGTGCTTCAGGTGTGGAGGGCCACACATGGTGAAGGACTGCCCACAGCCGAAGATAACTTGCAGCAACTGTGGGAAGTCAGGGCACATTGCCAATGAGTGGTGGGCCGCTAAGAGAAACGATAGTTCAAGTGCATCCCAGAGGCCGGAATCAAAAGGAAGCACGGGGCCAAGTACGGGGCAGAAGCTAAGCATTCCGGGTAGAGTCTTTGCTATGAGTGGGGCAGAGGCTTCACAATCAGAGGAACTAATCTGAGGTAAATGTGTAATTAAAGGTAGATTACTTGATGTGCTGTTTGACTCGGGTGCTACGCACTCTTTTGTGTCTATGGACTGCATAAAGAGTTTGAATTTGTATATGATTGAACTGCCTTGTAATGTTGTGGTGACTACCCCTACGGGTAAGCCAGTTGTGACGTCATGGGTGTGTTTGGGGTGTGTAGTGATGGTGCACAGTAAGGAGTTCAAGGTGGACTTGATTTGTTTACCTCTTTCTCAACTGGATGTAATTCTGGGAATGGATTGGCTTGCTGCCAATCATGTACTACTGGACTGTAGGAAGAAGACTTTGATCTTCGGTGCGACCATGGCAGAGGTTCCAAGGCTTATGAGTCAAGGTGCATGGGAGAACACGGTGAACGCCAAGGCTTTCATGGTTATGATTTCAATGGAAGCCAAAAGTGTAGTGAAGCTGAAGTATATTCTGGTGGTAAGGGATTTCTTAGAGGTGTTTTCTGAAGATATTTTTGAGCTACCGCCTGAGAGGGAGATAGTGTTTGCTATTGACCTCATTCCGGGAGCAAGCCCAATTTCTGTGGCACCTTACAGGATGTCACCTGTGGAGTTGGCGGAGGTCAAGAAGCAAGTAGAAGATTTGTTGCAAAAACGGTTTGTGAGACCGAGTGTGTCACCGTGGGGAGCACCAGTGCTCTTAGTGAAGAAGAAGGATGGAAGCATGAGGATGTGTGTGGATTACCGGCAGTTGAATAAGGTGACAGTCAAGAACAAGTACCCACTTCCGAGGATCGATGATTTCATGGACCAATTAAGGGGAGCAGTAGTGTTTTTGAAGATCAATTTGAGATCGGGATACCATCAAATTCGAGTGAAGGATGCAGATGTGCCTAAGACGACATTCAACATGCGGTATGGTCACTATGAGTATTTGGTGATGCCGTTTGGGGTGACCAATGCGCCTACGGTGTTCATAGACTACATGAACAGGATCTTCCACGAGTTTTTGGATAAGTTTGTGGTGGTGTTCATTGACGACATCCTAATTTATTCAAAGACTCAAGAAGAGCACGCCAAGCACTTGAGGATTGTCTTGCAAATTCTGAGAGAGAGACAATTGTATGCGAAATTCTCCAAGTGTGAGTTCTGGTTGTCGAAGATCCAATTTATGGGGCATGTGGTATCGAAGGAAGGAATCATGGTAGACCCTGCAAAAGTGGAAGCAGTGGCTGAGTGGCCGAGGCCGACGAATGAGACAGAGATGCACAGTTTCCTCAGATTGGCGGGCTATTACATGAAGTTCATTGAGGGGTTCTCCAAGACAGCATTGCCCTTAACGAAGCTGACTCACAAGGGAAAAGAGTTCAAGTAGACCAAGGGATGTGAAGCTAGTTTCTTGGAGCTGAAGATAAGGCTGACTTCGGCGCCGGTGTTAACTCTACCTGACCCAGAGCAGAAGTTTGATGTTTATTGTGATGCATCCAGGCAAGGACTTGGTTGTGTTTTAATGCAAGACGGACGAGTGGTCGCCTATGTCTCGAGACAGTTGCGCCTGCATGAGGTCAACTATCTGACACACGATCTGGAGTTAGTCGCGGTAGTGTTTGCTGTTAAGGTATGGAGGTATTACCTGTATGGAGCAAGGTTTGAAGTGTTCAGTGACCATAAGAGTTTGAAATACCTGTTTAATCAGAGGGAGCTGAACATGCAGCAGAGGAGATGGATGGAATTCCTTAAGGACTATGACTTCGAGACATGAACTTGGCCATGGAGGTGAGGCCGGGGAGTTTGTAGTTTGTATCTTGGAGCGATGACAATGCACAACGACTTTCTGGTGTATGTCTGAGATGCTCAACAAGGAGATGTCTTCCTGCAAGACATGATGAGACAGAAGGATGAGGGAAAGGACTTAGATTTCTATCGTGATGAAAACGAGGTGGTTAAGTTTCAGAACCGAGTGTGCATTCCTCAAGTGGATGAGCTGAGATAGATGGTGCTTGAGGAAGCGCATAAGAGCAAGATAAGTTTTCACCCCGGTGCAACTAAAATGTATCAGAATCTCTAGAAGAGTTTTTGGTGGAATGGTATGAAGAGAGACGTGGCTAAATATGTAGCTAAATGCCTAACTTGTCAGAAGGCGAAGGTAGAACACCAGTGTCCACCTGGGTTGTTACAGCCACTGGAGATCCCTGAGTAGAAATGGGATAGTATTTCCATGGACTTTGTTTCTGGGTTGCCTAAGACCAGGAACAACCATGATGTCATCTGGGTGATAGTGGATCGATTGACCAAGGCTGCACACTTTCTTCCAATCAATATGAAGTATAAATTAGAGCGACTTGTGGAGTTGTATGTGTGGGAGATAGTCAGGCTGTATGGAGTACCGACTAGTGTGGTGTCAGATAGAGATCTAAGGTTTACCTCGAGGTTTTGAGAAAGCCTGCAATGGGCGTTGGGGACTAAGTTGAGACTGAGCTCGACTTATCACCCACAGACTAACGGTCAGACTGAGCGGACCATCCAGTCCCTAAAGGACTTATTGAGGGCTTGTGTGCTCGAGCAGCAGGGAACTTGGGAAGAGTGCTTATTGCTAGTGGAATTCACGTACAAAAACAGTTACCATGCTAGCATTGGAATGGCACCATTTGAGGCTTTGTATGGGCAGAGGCGCAGAACCCTGTTGTGTTGGTATGCAGCAGGAGAGGCGACTCTGTGTGCGCCGGATATGATCCAAAGACAGAATGAGCAAATCTGGATGATCAAAGAGAAAATAAAGGCTGCGCAAGATAGGCAAAAGACCTATTATGATAAAAGGCGAAAGCCATTGGAGTTTCAGGTGGGTGACCACCTATTTTTGAAGGTCTCACCTGTAACCGAAGTGGGGAGAGCTCTGAAGTCTCAAAAGTTGTCTCCTAAGTTTATTGGGCCGTTCGAAGTATTGAGTAGAATTGGTCCTGCTGCATATCGGATAGCATTGCCTCCAAATCTACATCCGGTGTTCCATGTGTCACAGCTTAGGCAATATGTGCCGGATCCTTCCCATGTGATAGATCTTAACCCGGTTCAAGTGAGAGAAGACTTATCATATGATGTGTACCCGGTGAGGATTGCTGACCACCGTGTTAAACAGCTAAGGGGTAAAGAGATATCACTGGTGAAGGTAATATAGAGCTCGAGTGATGAGGGAGATGCCACATGGGAAGCAGAGAGTAGAATGAGAGAATTGTACCCGGGGTTGTTTTTGTAGTTGTGAGTGTTTGGCTGAATTTTAGGGACGAAATTCCTTAAAGGAGGGGAGAGTTGTAACGCCCCAAATTTTGTAATATTAATTATTGATAATTATATAAATCTAAATGTATATTCATGTGTGTATTTTTAGATATATGTTGTGAATATATATATGCATATATGTATGTTAGGGATGCGTGTATGTATATATATGTATGCATGACTGGATAGGACTGAAATAGGCTAAGTGCCTAAGTGTAGGGCATGATATTGGGTTGTTCTCGCTGCAGCGAGAGGGTCCTGAGAGGAAGGACCAGAACTGTCGCCTTCTCGCTGTAGTGAGAGACGACTCACTGTAGCGACAGTTTGGGGTACATTTTTGGGTGCAGTCTCGCTGTAGCGAGATTCTGCAGAAACCAAAGTGTCACTGCAGCGAGAGTGTCGCGACTAGAAAAGGATTTAAAGGGGGTTAGGGTTAGGGGAGAGTTATTTCTCCCTCTCTCTTCGAAATCCCTTTGATCCTCTTGTCTCCAAACCCTTTTTCAACGATTATATTGCCTCCAAAGCTGTTCACAAGCTTGATTGAAGGTTGAATTCGTGTGGGAAATGCTTGGAGGTGAGTTTTAATGGTTAGGGTTTCAGTTTTTATCCTCTTTCTCTATTTTTGTGGTTCCTCTGAGTTCTCATAGAGTTTCTCCATGTGTTTAGGATGAAATCCGTGAGAGGTAGCATCTCTTGGTGGATTTAGCGTGTGGGTATTCAATCCAAGGTAAGAGGGGACTCTATCCTACTCTTTTGTGCATGAATTGTTGATATTCTGCTGAATATTGTATTGTGACTGAGTTAGTGGGTAGGAAATTTCTTAAAAATGTAATGTGAGCCATGTGCTATGATATGTGAACAATATGTGTGTTGATACGAAATTGAGGGATTTAGATTATATGTAAATGTTGTGTGATAAAATGAGTGTGGGCACTTGTGCCGTATATTTGAATGAATATTGTGAAAATGTAGGCCCAAGGGCCGTGTAATATGAATGAAAAATTTTAGGTTGTGTGCCGTGTGCAGCATGACTATTGCATGCGTGAATGAAATATGTGTGAATGGGCGTATTAGCGCCGTTGTAATATGCTGTGAATGGTTCAGCGATACACTGGGGATGTGGGAGATGAGGACAGTAGAAATACCTTAGGAAAGAGGGAGTGGTGGTGACACCGACTGCGGAATGAGTGCACCATGGGCCACACACTCTCTTCCTGACGAGACCTCTGACCACTATCTTTGCTGAGCAACCCGTGACTGCCCACGTGGTATCCGTGCGGCAGAGGTAACCGGCGACCATTCATGGTGTAAATCTGTGATCACAATGTTATAGTGAGTGTGGCTGTTGTGCGTATTGACGAGTTTGTGTATTGTGCTTGTGAATGTATTTGCTTAATGTATTGGTAATGTGCTAGAGGTGAGACTTTATGTTGACTATGTGCTTTTGGGTAGTGTAGAGTACTCACCCTTACATTCATTTTTCAAGTAATCAAGACGATCAGCACCGGACTCAGTGAAGGGACGGATGGACTGGTATAGGATGTAGAATTTATTTTAAAAATGTTGTAATTAAACTAGTCCTGTAGCAGTTATTTGATATTAATTTGTAACCCTTCACTTATTTTGAAATCTTTTATGAAAAATTTGGTTATCCGATTTGTGAAATTATTATTTAATTGGAATTAAATTTAAGGTGCTACAACTTATGTATAAATTGTGGATACTTTATAATTTGTGACTCTTATTTATGTG